GGCGATGCGATGCGATGCCATGACATGAGCACAGTTTTGTCACCCGATGCCGATAAATCAGAATGAATTCTACTTTAGAGTCATGTCTTCACCGGATTGGCTCACGAGGTCGCACCCACAGTAGTGAAGAAGCCTGGCAGATCGATCATCTACCAGTGTAGCTGTACATACGCGAATTCGTTTTTGCTCAGTCACTCTCTGATATCTCTGTTGGTCAGCACTTGACATTGTCTGCAGGATTTTTACCGTTTGGATGCATCGGACACCGAAACAAGTGCGTCGACGCTCGTACGAATGGTTGTTGCCTGATAGTGGTTTGCGTGGGGCGTAGAGAAAGATGCGACGTTTCCATCAGGTCAACAGTTAAAGTATCCAAGATGCTGCTTCAATCACTATGACTCGACTCGCGTTTCCCTGATTCTTCTGCTGATTGCATATCTTCAGTTTCGATCAAGCGAGAACGGAGAACTTTCAACTCGAGTTCCATCTCCGCCACGCGCTGGGCATAATCTGTTTGTGCTCCATTGGCACGCTCCTCGTCCAAGAAGATCCCAATCGATGGAGCTTGGTGTTGTGTGTCAATGCCTGATATTCGAGTTCGAGAATGGGTAGTGCTGGCCCTTTGCTGCTGTCGTTGCCGATGATGCGCAATAATGGGGGCAAAGATGAAGAGCAACGTGCCTGAGCTCACAACAAAAATATACATAACCCTGAGCATGTGAAGTGCATCACTGCAATCTTTGAAACCCAAGAATTGCTCTGTGGGTATAACAATGAGGAACGACACAAACCATGTGCACAAGGCAAATGCAACTCCTCTTGCCTCACTGAATTCACTGTCAATATCGCGGGCGCGGTATGCCTGGACGCAAAGAATGAATAGAGCAATCAAATTCAACAAGCCCAGCAAGACATACAACACATAACCCAAAGAAGTCGCAGGGTAACATCCACTGATTTTGTCATCATGATAAACCCAGACCAGAGGATCCACAGCAGAAACAGTTGCCAATAATGTAACGTTCAATGTAAAGAGTATGGCAAAGGGCCTCAGGACATCTTTGACCGTGACAACTTTCCGCTGAAAGCCTTGGGCGTGAAAAATCTCATTGACTCTCATGAGCTTGGAAAACAAGGCTGACATTGTAATTGTGTATCCAAGGTATTGAAGCCAAGGCCTCGCCATACATGCTGCATCAATGTTGATGGTGTTTTGAGGACTGGGCGCCCAATGGAATGATAACCAACGTGGAAATAATTGACCCCACACAGACAAGAAGAAGAAAAACTGGCTGCATCATCTTGATGACAGGCTTTTCCCGATTCCAAAGGACCCAAGCCAAAAGAAAGAAACCCAGCGAGAGGGGGATGATCATGAGCACCAGACCAGCTACCGAACTCCCTCAGACAGGAATCGACCCTCCCCCATTGGATCCTGTGTTGCTGCTTCTGTTGCCAGAGTTTCGTTCATCATGGCTTGCTTGTATCGGACACTGGGATCGGTCCTGTTGGTGTTTGTTCTGTTGGCACATGCAGTATCAGGTGGTTCTGACTACACTCCTCTCATAGACCCCGGTGTAAAAGTTGGGTTGAAGCATGTTGCGTGGTCGTCTGGGGTCTGGGTGCTGTTGTTGCCGTGACTGGTCTGCCTTCTACCTTCTACTACGTGCTATTATGGTAAATTTACCGCCACAACACCGTAAAAGCTTCTCCCCAATCTTTTACTTTTTACCTACATGTACTAGAAGGCTCGGGTTTTCCAACCAAAGGATCTCAAAAAATGGTATCCACGTTTGACTTCTCCTCACGTCGTCGCGCCTGCTCCCACAAACGTGCACAGCGATAAAGGAGAGAGACAAAGCTCCTAGCTAGGCAGACAATTACAAAACAAGAGGCTCGGCAAACACAAAGGGAAAATGACAGAATCGACCTGTGAAACCGCCGCTTCAACTGAGCCCTCTCGGGGGATTCGTGCGATTTATTCCGACGACGCGGTGCGAGTGTATCAAGCCTACAATGACGCCATTGCCGAGAGCGCCGTGGCCGCCAACTCCTTCCAAGGTCCGTTGGGCGAAGGTAAATGGTCCTCGACACGCATGACTTGGATCAAGCCCAGCAAGGTTTGGATGGCCTACAGGTGTGGGTTTACGCTCTTGAAGGACAAGAATCAATCTCGCGTGTTGGCGTTGGATCTTTCACGGCAGCGTTTTGAAGAACTGTTGACGAACGCTGCGGTACATGGCGACGACAGCAAGAAGAAACAATACCGCAACAGCAGCGTGGTAGTACAATGGGATCCAGAGAGATACATGACGGTCCAAGAAGACGATCCAAACCAAAGAGCGCAAGGGTTCACCGTCTCCAACAGATCGGTCAGATCCATCCAAATTGGGTTGCGGGGTGCCGGTGTCGAAGCCTTGCTGGATCCTAAGCTTGTGCTCAAAATCACAGATGTTACACAAGATTTTCGAAACGCTTTGGCAGCCTTGCAGGCAGGAGATTTGGAGATGGCGAAAGACGCCTTGTGGCCAACTCACGAAAAGGAACAGTTGATGGAAGTCCCGCAATATCTGCGGCAATTGTTGAGGATGGACTTGGAAGCGAAGGAGGATAAACTTTGACGGAGAGTGACGAGGAGAGCGAGAGCAACAATGTCACTCACGAAAGGAGCGACTCAGTCAGAGCTACAATCTGTGAAGCAATCGGTGTGCGTCAGAGCCACAAACTGTGAAGCAATCGGTGTGCGTGTGACTATCATAATACCGGCATGTAATACTACCACCTAGAGATTGCGACAAACCCCAACTGACTCCCAAGCTCCCGAGCCTAGACCACCCCAATGCCACCACGATGCCACGGGGGCCCATTCAATCGCTGTAGCATGAACATGGGCTGCAATAAGCTTGGCAGTCCAAAACTAAATCACAGTTGACACTGATCGTACGCAGATTCGGCAAAGAGCAGACTTCTTCGGGGATGGGGCCGTCGATTTGGATCCTATCAATCAAAAGGAACTGGAGCGAGGTCAGTAGGCCAAGCTCGCTCGGCACTGAACCCGTCATGCCAACATTGTCATACAGTGTAAGATATTCAAGATTCGTCAGGAGACCCAGCTCTAAAGGGGAAGAGTTTGGTTTCTGTGAGTGCAAAGATCAAAGAAAAGCTGCCGTCCACAAAAGAGACGAGTTATACCCACCGGTTGGTAGTGTACCAGTCAAGTCATTTCCGCGCAAGTTTAGATTGCTGAGACCTGTCAACAGCAACAGCTGGCTTGGAATGGATCCAAAAACAGCAGTCTCCTTGACAATCATTGTTCGCAGTGGCAAGTATGCCAACTGCGCTGGTATGAGCCCTGGAAGATCTGCTGCCAAGTCTTCTAGAAACTCAAGCTCGATGGATTCCAAGGAGGTCAAGAGGGCCATTTCTGGGGGGATCTCAGCGCCACTAAAACCACCCGCTCTTGAGATCGCCAGTTCTGTGAGGCTCCCGCTAAAGTCGCAAGTGATAGCTTGTGCTCGAGTGTCCCCCCAAAGACATTCACTCAGGTCGTAGTTCAGCCAGTTCTCCCTTTCCCTAAAATCCCACCCATCACCTCCAAACGAGTAATAGAATGTTGCAAGGGCAAAAAGCTGTTGCTTCCTGGGTTCGGATATCGACGATAAGTCAGGATGGTCTTCCAACCACTGGTAGGCAAATGACTGAGGCGAAAACGAAGTTGCAATGGCTGCAACGCTGAAGCCTGGAAGGTTGAGAATATATCCGGAAGCAGGACCTGTTGTGGGAAACAATGCCAGCCCCATCGGAGCTGCTGTTGGTGCGAGGTCAGCATTGCCCAGGGGAGCCGGGGATGGTGGTGGAGGCCTGGGGGGCCTTGTTTCTCCTTGTTCATCTTCACATGCACAGTTGTTGCATTGGGGTGGGCAGAAGATTTTGTAGTTGCAGTCCAACCGGAGATTACGTAGCAATGGCAAGAAGCAGATAGATCTGTGCAGCGTCCCCACCAGATTGTTTGCATAGATTGACAAGCTCTCCAGGGAATTCATTTGGGCCAACTCAGTCGGGATTGTTCCTTCATTTAAAGCAGGAGTGATGGTAAAAGAGTGATGGTAAAAGACTAAAAGTTGAGTGGCCATCAACAGGTCAACAGATGAAAGCAAACAAGGACGTCAGTACCAGTCAGATAGTTCCCGTACAACACCAAGTACTTGAGGTCTGTTAGGAGACCAATCTCAGTAGGAATGGGTCCATCGATGTAGTTGTCCCGTAAGTTGAGATTTTGCAAGTATTGAAAGCCCCCAAGACTGTTTGGAAGAGTACCTGTGACGCCAGTGCTCTGTAATCTGACCTCTGCCAAACTGGGTAATTGAGCCATCTCCGTTGGGAGAACTCTTGTCACGTTCGTAAACCAATGGTTGTAAGGCATTTCAAGTCTCTCTAGTGCTGACAGAAGTGCCATTTCTAGTGGAGTAGTCCCACGGAGGGTATCATGTTGAGAGGCGAGAGCCAAGTATGTCACCTGTCCAAGGCTGTTACATTGGGTTGCCCGATCCCCACTTTCACCCCAAGAGCA